ATAAATTTAAAGTTCAGTTCAGGTTCAGGTTTAAAGATCTGCAAAATTTAAAGTTCAGTTTAGGTTCAATTGAACTTTAACCTGAACCTAAATTGAATTGAACTGAACTTCAGAACACTATCATAAACCTTATTAATATCAACTCTGTCAGTATTAATCTCACATTAATATCAACCTCTTATTAAAGACAAATAGGCCTAGACTATATAAAAACAATCCTGATTTTATCAACTCTTGTATATATTAATATAATTGTCTAATCTAAAAGTATTATATTAATAAAGATTGACTGTATTTGCATTTAATAATATATATGTATGTATCTTTTCACTAATTTTATTTGAACAGTATATATAATTTTGAAATAATTGTTTAAGATATTCTATATTCATATACTGACTAATTAAAATATAATGATGTCTCTTTTGACCAAATTGATATTTTTGATATCCAATAAACTTTCAGATCATTGATATTTTATCAATCTAGATTTATAATTAAAAATACAAATTATTAAATTAAAATATATATATATAAATTCAATATTATATATATATATACTTGTTTATATTTTCTAAGAATAAGATCTCTATTACAGCAGATATTAGTAACTGTATTAATATAAAGATATAACGTATTATAAGCTTGACTATATATACTAAAAATTAGAATAAAAATTTTTAATTAATATTAAAAAATAAACAAATTTATACATTATTATTTATTAAATATTATTATTTAAGAGTAAATATATCAATTGAAGATTTATTTGCATCAAAGATTTTTTATAAAGTTGGTCTTCAAAATTAACTAATGTATATTCAATATTAAAAGTCATTGAGGCAAATTTATATACTTTTACACTAAAATATGAGCAATAAGTTTTTTAACAGGTATATCTAAGAATGAATATTTTTGAATTGATCTAATTGTTCCAGGATCTCTATAAGCATATTGAATATTAGAAATTTCAAAAGCATTTTTAGTATTATCTGGTTTCTAGCCAGAAATATTATAAATACTAGCAATACCAGTTAAAGAAGTTTTAGGATACTCTTGAAACTCCAGATAATATTCAACTTAATCAATAATTAAATTGTAACCAAATTGGACAAGTATTGGTTGATACTACATAATTAAAATAACCATAATTAGTTACTATATATAACTTATATATATTAATATTAAATTAAATAATTATTATTATATCCTTATAATCTTCATTTTTCTAACTATTTTCAAGTATATTATTATTGTTTAAATTATCTACAGATATACAATCGCTTAAACTATTATTGCTATTATATTCACTTTTAAAGCTAGATATTTGTAATTCCTATTTATAAAATTGTATAGTTAACTTTTTTAAATAATTTGTGATCAAATATCATACTACAACAATAGTGCAAATAATACTTCATAATATTAAATAAATGAATTTAACGATTTTTTTAATGCAATATAACTTAATATTATTATACAATATTAATTTATTATTATAGTGATTATTTA